ACAGAGCACCCAGGCTCGCCCCATCCCTTCCCTCTACACCAAGGCGTAGTCAAACTGGCCCCTCTCCAACCCCTCCTTGTGGTCAGTCCAGGAGGAGGCGGGCATGCGGCTGTAGGGGTCCAGCAGGATGCGAAAGCAGCGCACCATCAGCATCACCAAGAAGACCAGGAGGAAGATGACAAAGGCAAAGACGGTTTTCTGCTCAGCATCCATACCCGCAGTGCCGGCTGGGGGCTCAACCAAGGAGGGGGCTCAACCAAGGAGGGGGAGAGCAGTTCATAATCCATCGTCGATGCATCATTCATGGCAGAGGCGAGGAGCGTGTGGGCAGAGCGCATTCGGCCACCCCGGTGCCCGGGCAGCCAGCTTCAGCCTCCCACTGTGCCCACACACCCAGAGCACGGGTTACTCCATAGCCACCGGCGCTGCTACGCCGAGCTCGGGATTCGCTCCTGCCCGGGCCAAGAGCTCCTGGAGGGGAAAGCAGAGATGGTGAGGGAGGAGAAACTGGCCAGGGGCTACACCAACTCTGCTAAAAAACCAGGGGCAGTGAAGTTCACAAGTGGATCCCTGGTTTTCTGGCAAGCTCAAGAAGGCACTTGTGAGGGGCATGAAGGCATGGGATGGGTGGGCAGCCCAGGGCACTGGTGCAGAGCTTGCCTCTCCAGTCATAAATCCCCAGCAATCCTCTGGAGAGGGTGCCCACCTGGCAAGGCTAGTGCTGCAGGACCCCTTTGGCCCAGGTGCCGTGAATCACAAGAAAATTCACACTGAAAAGGACCTCAGCTGTGGAGTCAGACTGGGCTGCTCATGGCTTTATCTAGTCTGGTCTTGAAGTTCTCCCAAGATGGAACACAAGCTTAGAGTTTGCCCACTCCTACTGAGGAACAGGAGTCCAGCTGCTGTATTTCCCTTGGCACAACGACCGCCTTTGGTTTTGCAGCAGGTATAGAAGGAGCTGAGACCCGATGGAAGAGGAGGGCACCTACCTCACTGCAGCTGCATGGGGACACTAGCATTGCTATTGCAGCAGGAGGAGGAGAAGGCTGTGTCCAAACAGCCACGTCACTGAGGAAAGATCTCCAGGGTCCGGCTTTCTTGGGCTAGGGATGCAAAGCAGAAGGACAAAGATAGCAAAAGAAGTTAAAAGAACCACAGTCACTAGAAGTCATAGCAAAACACCACAAGGCGCCTCTGAAGTTCTCAGTGCCTCTTGTCAGACCAGGTCTGGATGGAGTTCACCTAGGGGAACATCCACACCAACCTCCCCTTGCAGCATCCTGGAGCCTGAGTGCTCTCAGTGCTCTGGAGACTCGGGAAACAGCCAAAGCATCCTCCTGCCCTCCCAGGCAGCAATACTGCCTCTGGGAGCAATATCAGTGGGAAAGTAAAAGGCAGAGCCCAGTTCCAAGGCCGAAGCACCCAGATACAGACCAGAGCAGGTTCAGCATGGCTCCGACTCGCACTGAGAACCTGCTCACTTTCCTTTATCTGCAGCTCCTGGGACACCATGAGGAACATTCTTGCAGGCTTTAAAAATAATTTCATATAACAGCAGCAAAATAAAGGGCAAGAGCAGCAACAAGGAGAGCATAGCTGCTCTCTGGCTTTTCACCCCAGTTATTTGGTACTCTCCCTTCCCAGACACGTCTCTCGTGTCTAGACCAGACACGGGGTGTTCTCTTGATAGCTGTCTGGGCAGCACTGAGCCACCCACCCCTGCTCTCCCTTGGGACAAAACGCTACCACAACACCCCTGCCTGTGGGAGTGGTGAGCCCTGAGCTGTCATCCCTGCATCAATATTTGGCCAGGGTATCTCTGAACCCCCAAAACAGCTGTCTTGGCACTTCCACTAACACCAGCTTCCCAGTTACATGCTACGGCTCCAGATGTCCTTTGGGGTTGAGCGGGGGGCTTTGCCCTGGTTTGTCATAGTTACGCTATTGCAGGGAAGTATTCAGTGCAGTTCCCCAAAGGGGAACTGTACCTGCATCCCACATCACGTTAAGGGGACATCGGCCACCCCTAGTGTGACTTCATCCAGAAGCCCCTCAGGTTGTCAAGCTTCCATCATAGAATCACAGAATGGTTTGTGTTGGAAGGGACCTTTAAAGGTCACTTAGCCCAACCCCCTGCCATGAGCATGGACACCTTCAACTAGATCAGGTTGCTCAGAGCCCCGTCCAACCTGACCTTGAATGTTCCCAGGGATGGGGCATCTACCACCTCTCTGGGCCACCTGTGCCAGTGTTTCACCACCCTCGTTGTAACAGATTTCTTCCTTATAGTCTAAATCTACCCTCTTTTATTTTAAAACCATTCCCCCTTGTCCTATGGCAACAGGCCTACTAAAAAGTTTGTCCCCATCTTTCTTACAAGCCCCCTTTAAGTACTGAAAGGCCGCAATAACGTCTCCCCAAACCCTTCTCTTCTCCAGGCTGAACAACCCCGACTCTCTCAGCCTGTCTTCATAGGAGAGGCGTCCATCCCCCTGACAATTTTTGTGGCCTCCTCTGGACCCGCTCCAGCAGCTCCATGTCTGTCCTGTGCTGAGGACCCCCGAGCTGGACGCAGCACTGCAGGGGGGGTCTCACCAGAGCAGAGCAGAGGGGCAGAATCCCCTCCCTCGCCCCCTCCCTCGCCCTGCTGGCCACGCTGCTGCTGATGCAGCCCAGGATACGGTTGGCCTCCTGGGCTGCGAGCGCACATCGCCGGCTCATGTCCAGCTTTTTGTCCACCAGTACCCCAAGTCCTTCTCATCGTGCTGGGGTTTAACCCTCCCTCCATATATCCCCAGCTGAGCACGGGGTGCAGGGGGTACGGGGATAAGTCAAACAAGGTTCCCACAGCACGGGTACCACATCGGGAGGGCAGGAGGATGGGGATGAGTGAACTGAGCTGGAGGAGCTTCCACCCGGGCAGAGAGCGCTTGGGTCTCCCCTCCCCAGTGGGTGATGGCTCCACGTGGCCCTGTCTAGGGGAGGAATACCCACCCATGGAGGAGCATTGACAGGACGCAGCATCCCGCTGCTCTCCTCGGAGGTCTTCGGGGACAGGCGCAGCTGTCTACAGCCTCCACCTCCCCGCAGAGCTCCTTCTGCCCTGGGAGCCCTCAGGAACCCCCTGGGCTTTGAAAGCATTGCATTGCCGGGGCACCACTGCCTTTCCGCTGCACTGCTCCGTGCTCAGGGGAGATTCATGCTTCCCACGGACACCTCTGGGTTAAGAAAATCTCCCTTCATGGTTCTCGGTGCCAGAGATACTCAGGAAAGGCAATATAAGCGACCCAAGAACAAATCATGTATCTGGAGGTACCCAACTGACTCACATCAAAAGTGCAGGGAGGAACAGGCACATTCAGGACAAAACACAAGATTGTCTGCTAAATGATATCCCTAGTGTTATATCCTATAGGATTCAGGATAAAGGATTTCCCTCACATTTGGGATGTGTTGCTTTTTCATTACCGTGTGAAGAATCAGATCTTAATTTCCCGGGAATTTTGAGCAGAGCGAAAAACGGCTGATAAGACAGTTAAATGAAGGCAGCTGTTATTTAAGGAATATTTGATTGAGTTTCATTAAGATTCATGTTCCCTTAGTAACTAAAAAGAATACATGAACAAGGGAATTGCTTAATAGGGACAGAACTCACAAAGGAGGAGGATCACTGTCAACAATTCAGCAACAATGTGGTGAGATTTTTCTGCGTATGAAACACGAATTAAATGTTAATTTGGGAACGGCAAATATCTAATGAGATATTTATTTAAGAAGAAGTACAGAGCGGTGTTTACCGATGCAGGATGCCATCTGGTATGGAGGGCTCACCCTTCCCACTGCAGACACCTCCAAACTGAGAAGGCGAGTGGGCAGTGAGGGGTGGCTATGGGCTCTCAGCAGGGACGGGGCTGCACAGCACTGGCATGACTCAGCCCGCTCTCTGGACTACACCCAGACACCTCTGCTAGCACCAGCTTATTCCACTCTTTCAGTCCTTGCGGGTTTTTGAGCAGGAGTCAAGACCTAGAGATAGGTAGGGGATGGGAAAGCACAAGAGCCTGGAGAAGGGAAAGCTCCAGGGAGACCTTATTGCAGCCTGTTAATATTTAAAGGGGGCTTATAAGAAAGATGGAGACAGGGGGAATGGTTTTAAACTAAAAGAGAGTAGATTTAGACTAGATAGAAGGAAGAAATTTTTTACAATGAGGGTGGTGAGACACTGGCACAGGTTGCCCAGAGAGGTGGTGGATGCCCCATCCCTGGGAACATCCAAGGTCAGGCTGGACGGGGCTCTGGGCAACCTGAACTGGTTGAAGGTGTCCCGGCCCATGGCAGAGGGCTTGGACTAGATGGCCTTTAAAGGTCCGTTCCAACCCCAACCATTCTATGATTCTATGAAGTGTCCAAAGCAATATCAAAGCCTAATTAGGGAAAGCAGCTGGAGAGTGTCTTCTGTGTCAGCCAGAAAGCAATTTCTGGATACTAACATTTCGGGTATTGCTTACTTCCAATTTACAGTGGACTAACCTTGCTCAAAAAAAAATCTGTTCCTCCTTCAAACAGTTTACTCCCACCAGCAAATAAAAGATGAAGCCGGGAGCCTTGGCATAGCCGTGCTTCGCTGTGCATTACTGCACAGTCCATGCTCCACGCAGTTGGTGTGCAGGGGACCGTGAGCGGGGAGCCCAGCTCTGGATCCAGGGTCCAAGTGATAAGGCAGCTCTCCAAGTCATGGGAAAATTTGTCTTAGGGTGCTGGGAGGTTAAGTCAGCTTTGCAACACCTAGCACTGAAAAGTGTGTATTTTATCAGCA